ACTCTAGTTTTTAAGACAGGTGAGGAACCAATTGAGACTCTTATAGTAAGACTCATATTTCGTATTTTGAAGATCTTAATAGATCATACTCACCATCAATTATGTCTCGATCACTAGATCTGATACACTTTCAAGCTTTCGTATTATCTCAAGTCCAATTTCAGCTTGTGCTTTCGACCCTGAAGAATCGATGGAAAACATCGAGTTACCATGTCAGTTTTCGCGGTTGGCGATGAACTCGTTGGGTTAAGCCAGTCCACACAAGGACTTTGGACGCATATGAAAATGTAAGTGTCTAAATATTCAGCTAACTAGTTGGCATTTTTAGCTACCGGCTAATAAGACCAGTAGATAAGAAATTTATTAAATATCCGACTAACTATAAACATTATTTGTTTGTAGGTACATGTTACATCTATTACTCCTGCTGACATAGACTTTGAACTCGATGAAGGGGAGTAGTGTTTTTCTGACGTGGAACATGTAGCCTCACTTGTGCGTGGGAAGATCAAAGGCAATATTGACATGTTGGAAGAAAAGGTTGATGAACTACGCGATTCTTTTAATCAGCTGCAAGACTACGTAAAGAACCATATTTTCGAAAACTTGTCTCATTGGATTACCTTACAGCTCAGTTACAAGAAGACTCTAGATTCCGTTTGTAAGTCTCAGTTAAGTTGGTTATGTGTAATGCAATACTTCAACTTATGTAACTATCAAGTGTCTTCCGTCGAATTACTACAAGTTGTGTAATGTATGTTATCTTCTATGTTGAGAAGTCAAAATAAGTTGCAGACTTTCGATATAATAGTTTAATTATCCGGATATTCGAATTTATATACTAGAAAATTTAACAATATTTCAAATTTATGGCTATATATTCAGGTAGCCACACATTTGTGTAGATTACCATACTTATAATAGAACTAAAATGACATGCTATATATTGAATAACCATCAACTATTGAAAATAACCGAATAAGTGGCATGTGTATAGATATATCAATATAGACACATATGTGTTATATTATTATAGACAAAATACAACCGAACACTAACTCAAATAACCAGAAATTACTGGATATAACCAGATAATATGTATATAACCGAGATAACCGGATAATAACCAACAACCATTATAGGTATCTACAAAAATTGCACATATAATATTATTAGAAACAAAAGATAACCGGCCACTAACTTAAATAACTATCAACTACTAGAAATAACGGACCGCTAACTAAATAACCATCAACTATTGCCTCCTAACTATAGTCTATCAGAATAGCTGGTATTTCAAATCTAGATATCAGCTAACATATAAAATATCCATATAAATCATAATATAATCGGCTAATTTGAAAATGATCCAAAAAATCACATTATAACCGATTAACTTACATATCAACTATATGAATAGTACATATATAAGTTAAGCTTATTGTGTTTCAAAAAAAAATTTAAGTTAACATTATCCAAAATATAATCAAGAAAAATGAATACAAAAACATATATATTTCAGCCAAATATATACATATATTCTCTGTTTGTTTTCTAGACAGAAATCATCAAATAGAATCTACTGAACTACAATACATAAATTTCTTTAGCTCTTTTTACGATCACACGAGCTCAACTTCCTTCACTCCAGTCATGAACTCGCTCCAATCTGACATCGTATCAGAAGACTTGGTTTCACCAAAGTCACAAAAGGAAGACGAAGATGAGAACCTTGGAGAGTTGACTCATTTTTATTGTTAATGTGTTCCC